ATTGCTGAAGGCCAGAGTGGGAACCTCCCCTCAGGGATTCTTGGGAAGAGAATGGAGCGCAGGACATGAGCGTTTGACCCTGGTGGGCACCACTAGGAACAGTCTCTACTCCCCTCCCCTTACATGTGGGGACACTGAGGCTTTGGAGAAGTGGGGCTTCTGAAGGTCACCTGAAACATTTCCCAGACCTGCACCGAGGGTCCACTTAGTGCCCAGTGCTGTACTGGGTCCTGAGGATAGAGAGGCTTTTAGATGTCTATACAGAGTCCACAAGACAACTATGCTAAGTGGCCCATTGGGACCCAGTCCATTTTTTCAGAATAACAATTATTACAGTAATAATAAACAGTGGCTGAGCACTCACTAGTGCCAAGTTGGTATTGCAATACTTTGCATATATTATTTCATTTAGTCCTCAGCTGCTGTTATTACTATGCTAGTTTTACCGTTGAAGCCCAGAGAGGTCAAGCAACTTGTTCAAGGTCACAGAATTAAAAAGTGGCAAACCCAAGCAGCCTGGTGCTAGAGCCTGCCTTCTCAGCCACCACCTGCCAGCTTTCCTGGTGGCTTTTCTACCTCCACTCCCTACACTTTCCATTCAAAAGGAGCCAAACCAGAGCTTCGAGAATTTTTAAGATAAGAAATACTGGGGTAAGTCAGGCCAGCGTGGTTCTTTGATTGAGCATCAACCTATGAACCAGGAGGTCAGGGTTCAATTCCCTGTCAAGGCACATGCCCAGGTTGCAAGCTGAATCCCCAAATGGGACGGGGGAGGGGGGGGAGCGTGGTTGTAGGAGGCAGCCAATCAATGATTCTCTCTCATCATTGACATTTCTATCTCTCTTTCTCTCTCCCTCTCCCTTCTTCTCTGAAATCAATAAAAATATTTTTTTAAAAAGAAATACTGGGTCAAGAACTAAATGGCTGGGAACTTCAGGGATTTATAGGGGAAGCGGTGGTCAACTCTGAAGGGAACTCTAAGGTTCCTGGTGCTGCTAAGGTATAACCATGGCCAGAGGGTGACAGACTGGGAACTTGAGCCTGATGTTGAAAGGGCCATGAATGAGGATTTGGAACTCAGACAGCGCTTGTTCTAGATCCATTCTCTACCATAGGTGTATGTGTGGCCTGGGGCAGGACCCTTCCTGAGTTTTCTTCTCTTATCTGTAAAACAAATACAAATTTCTACCTTTCGGGTTGCTCTGATGTCAGATAAGACAATGAATGCAAAGTGTTAGGCCCCCTAACATGGGCATTAGTCGTGGTTGCCATCACGGTTATCGTCCTTGCCACCTTGTCACCACCTCTGCCACCTCCCAGATTGAGGGGGAGACGAGGTAAAAAGAATAGAGCTGGGACTCAGGATCAGGAGACCTCAGCTCCAGCCCTAGGCCATGTATCTGGGGTTAGTCAATGGGCCCCGACAGATAGATCCCTTATCTATAGTAAGGGGGTACCACTATGTATGTGGACATAGTTATTTGTAGGGTTGGAGTGAATCACAAATGAGGTAGTGCATATGAATATGCTTTACAATCTCCAGGGAGTGTTGGGGGGGCCCAAGACAACTCCTGAGTCAATGATTCACTAGGAGGGTTCACAGGCCTCAGCCTCATCATAGTCATAACTGATTTATTAGAGGGAAAGGATTCAAAACAAAATCAGCGCAGAAAAGGAGCGTGAAAACTGGGCACCGGCTTCCAAGAGTCCCCTCCCAGTGGAGTCACCCAAGACATGCCCAGTTCCTCTGCAACGCATTGTGCCAACAGGTGTAAAATATTGTCTACCTGGGAAGCTCACTGGAGACTCAGGGTCCAGGGTTTTTAGTGGGGGCTGATCACACAGGTATCCTCTGCCTGGCAAATTCCCAGACTCCCAGAAGAGAAGCCAGTGTTCAGCATCATGTAACTAGTTACACAGTTTAGGCAGAGTGGAAACTGTGAGAAACTTCCCAAAACCTAAATTCCCAGAAGTAAGCCAAGAGCCACTCTTGCAAGCAGGTCTTCTGGAGGGTAGTGGCCTCAGGACTGCTATGTCAGCAACTGTTTGCACAGAGTAGCATTTGTAGAAAGGTTTTTGTGAATATACACTCAAAAGGGAAAGGGGAAATAATAACAACAGTTCATACTTATTGTCACTATGAGCCAGGTACTGTTGTGCATGCTTTCCATGTATTGCCTTGGGTAACATTTCATCCATACTATTCCTTCACTGAGGTACTGTTATCACCATTCTTTTACATAGGACAAAACTGAGCCCTACGAGAGGGTACATAGCTCACTTGGGTAAACAGCTAAAGGGTGTCCCAAAATTCACGCAAGAAGTAATTTTGATAGAAAACACAGGTTTATAATTAAAAATTGCAAATTTTTTATTGATTCACAAAGTATATAGTATAGGGTTATGTATGGAATAGCATATTGGATAAATGGCTGCCACGGCTTTGCTGGCACATACACACTCTTTGGTTGAAATTTTTTATGACCATTTTGCATAAATGTGGCTGAATTTCAATGAGTCTCATTTTCATCTTGATGGCTTGGTTAATCGGCAAAGTTGTCACATTTGGGGTTCAGGAAATCCATGAATGATTGTTGAGAAACAAATGCATCCACAACATGTCACTGTTTGGTGCGGATTTTGGGCTGGAGGCAACATCGGACAATTCTTCTTCGAAAATGTGGCTGCTCAGGCAATAACAAAAGAGTGCGTATGTGCCAGCAAAGCCGTGGAGGCCATTTACCCGATATGCTATTCCATACATAACCCTATACTGTATGCTTTATGTTATGAATCAATAAAAAATTTGCAATTTTTAATTATAAACCTGTGTTTTCTATCAAAATTACTTCTTGCGTGAATTTTGGGACACCCTTTATATGACTCGTAGGAAGTCATAGGCCACGATATGGCCCTCACAGTGTGGCCCCTCCGTCTATATTCTTAACCCCTGTGTTACACTCTGCTATGCGGCACCTACTGGGGGCTGGGTGCTTTGTATGTGTTATTTTATTAATGCTTACAACAGCTCCCTGTGAAGATAGTTATTGGACTAATTTCGCATGAAAAAGCCTGTGGCTCAGGAATGTTAATTTATGTCACATCACCCAGCCAGAGAAGTGACAATTTCCAGAGTGGGTCTCTGTCCTCTCCCCGCCCTGTTTTCCTGGCACGGGCTTTGTTGAAACTTTCGGTAGGAACATGCAAATGGCCAAGGTAGAAAGAAGTCATTCTGGGGCTGAAACCTAAAAACTTCCCCCATATTCCTCCCATGGGGATAGAGTTAATGGAAGAAGGGGCGGTGTTGCAAGGAATTCGACTTCCTGCAGCATTTCAGAGCTTTAGATGCTGCCTTCAGCTCTTTGCGGTTGCCATGACAGCAGATATGGCATTTCTTTCATAAGGAGAAAAAAAATAAAAAGAACCCCACTTAGTCCTGTGATATTAGAAAAGTCTGTTTCCCAGATCTAGCTAATTTTTCTTGCATAGTGCTTGCACTCCAGGGAAATTCTTAGAATGGAATCACAGGAGAATAAAGAGGGAGATGGAAAAATCTGCTCCTCTAGAGAAATTGTATACTGTGTGTGTGGTGGTGGTTTGTGAGAGTGGGACATACAGGAGGAGGGGGCCAATATAGGACTTGAGACAAATTGTACCTTCTGAAAGCAACAGCTGGTTATTATAAGGTCTCGGTCATCATTTTAATTCTGCTTCCAATTCCCTCACCCCACCAGTCATTCCTGTGTTGGGCTTTGCTAGGCTAAGCAAATGCTCTTCGGTGGGGAAAGCATGATACATAAAGCAAGACATACAACCCAGAGTGATCATTGCAATGATGAGGTGGGCTCAGCATTCTGTGGGAGCAACAAGATTTGTCTTGTCCATATCATTTTGATCTATCTATACACACACACACATAAACATAGATATGTAGATTTGCATTATTGCATCTTAAGCATTTATCCGTGTCATTATGTTAATCTCTACAACCATCCAATTTCAGTGATGGCCCAGTATTCCAGTAGATGGAGGGATCACAGTCCCCTGTGAGTGGACATCTGAGTTTTTACCATTTTCCCCTATTATAAAGGAAAGGGTTCTATAGAACGATACATCTGAGAGGATTTGTCCATAACACAAATGGTTCGTTCAGAAAGATGCCCATGCTCCTCTTCATTATTTCCCTCTTTTTCGTGATTTTAAAAAATTGACCATAGTGGGAAAGAAAAAAAATCATCGCCAAACCGGTTTGGTTCAGTGGAGAGAGCGTTGACCTGCGGACTGAGAGGTCCTGGGTTCGATTCTGGTCAAGGGCATGTACCTTGGTTGCGGGCACATCCCCAGTGGGGAGTGTGCAGGAGGCGGCTGATCGATGTTTCTCTCTCATCGATGTTTCTAGCTCTCTATCCCTCTCCCTTCTTCTCTGTAAAAAATAAACAAAATATATATTTTTTAAAAAATCTTCATCAGGTACTAAACTATCTTTACCATCTCCTATTATCACCTTGTCACAAATGATGGTCTCCAAGGAAAGCACCCCAGTTTCAGGAGTCTAGAGGCTCCCCCTGCAACCACCAAGGAGAAGCAAGAACTAGCCTCCACTTGAGCCCTAACCAGTTTGGCTCAGTGGATAGAGCATCAGCCTGCGGACTGAAGGGTCCCAGGTTCTATTCCAGTCAAGGGCATGTACCTTGGTTGCAGGCACATCCCCAGTAGGAGGTGTGCAGGAGGCAGCTGATTGATGTTTCTCTCTCATCGATGTTTCTAACTCTCGATCCCTCTCCCTTCCTCTCTGTAAAAAATCAATACAATATATTTTTTTTAAAAAGAACTAGCCTCCACTTGTGACCAAAGCAATGGGAACATAGACTGCAATTTGGGAATTAGTCCTAAAAGCTGGATGATGGGTGCTCAGGGCAAGAGTGAAAAATCAAAACTGTGCATCCTAAACCTGTGCTCCAGGGAGTCCTAACAATGTCCTCTCTTTTCACTCCCTCCAGAGCCATGTTTGACTATGACAAGAGCAAGGACAGTGGGCTGCCAAGCCAAGGACTTAGTTTTAAATACGGAGATATTCTCCATGTTATCAACGCCTCTGATGATGAGTGGTGGCAAGCCCGGAGAGTCACCCTGGATGGAGACAGTGAGGAGATGGGGGTCATCCCCAGCAAACGGAGGTAAGAAGGCCTTCTCTGCTTCAGAGCACTCGCTCGTCCGCTCTCCTGGCAGGGGAGATGAGGGAGGATGAACATGGGACAAACTGTTCACAAGTATCTCTTTGAATGGGAAAGTCAGTCTGCAGGGAAATTGACAGGTGACACAAATTAAATAGTCTCACTCCCTTCATGTTAGGGTTTTACTGAAGCCGGTGACTGTGATAGGGCATAAAGGAAAGAGAGGATCTGCCAACACTGCCTTCCTCAAACTACAACCAGCATTCCCAATTGCAAGATTCTGCCCATCAGCTTCATGCTGACTTACACCCTCAGAAGGCTTATTCCAAAGGTTCAAAATGTAACAGATAATTTCATAGAAAGACCAGGTAAGTGCCAAAGAAAGTAGATTGTTTACTAAGGTAAGGCCCTGGTTGTGTGTCACCTCCAAATATTGAAGGAAATCAACTACAGACTTCCATTCCCTTCCAAATCCAGATGCTTGGGACACGAGCTGTCAAATCGTGTGAGGTGGAAAGACTGAGTTTACAACTGCTTTTCACTCCTTTAGTTAGCCTGTTCCCCACCCTACCCTACAACTCTCCACCCACTCCCACTCAGATATTTGGTTCCATGTTCCCTAAGTAGAGAGAATTATGCTCTTTCTTTTCTAAGTATTTGTTCAACTCTGCTTTAGAAAGGCAAGAATATACTTCAGAACAGCCAAGTCCTTCATCTTTCCCAGCAGCTTCTAATCTTCACCCCAGATACTAGGAACCAAACTATCTGCACCCTAGAGAAGAGTAATGGCAAGAAATGAAAGTGGGGAATAATGCTTATTCAGAGCAGTCACCATGAGCTGGGGATTTCTCAAAGGGCTCACCTCACATCCAGACCCCCAACACCTCCGTAAAAATCCTCAGTAAAGAATGTAAGTGCCACACACAACATGGTCCAGTGACTGAGCTGGCTCAAACCACAGTGGGAAGATGTAAATTATACTGAAGAATAACCCCGCAGGGCGTTTGCACCCCAGAGAAGACTGGTCTCCTACCTTGCTCTGCTTGTGGCCTCACAGCCTGGGGAGAAAGGTGGGGGTGGGGGGGTGCGGGGTAGCAGGCCAACTATTCACAGCTGCTCCCTCACCTTGAAGGGTGGACTTGCAGAGAAGCACTGAAACTCCAGGGAACCTCCCCTCACCCCTGCCCATGCCCAGGATTCCCCCGCCCCCCGCTAGCAGACAGGTACCTGGGGTTCTCTAAACCTCTGGGCACCTGGATAGCTGCCTCACGTTGCTTTGAGAGGACATTCAGAGTTTGTGCCATGGCTTGTAATGTTTTCTGAACGATTTTGTATTCAGAGCATGTCTCTCAGCCCTAGTTTATATTCTGTGTTTCTCCATTTTCATTTACTGCAAAAAAGAATATGTCAAAGCAACATCCATTTTTATATGGTTTGATTTAATTAACCGAAGCTGTCTGAGGGGCTGCTCTGTAGAAAAAAGCCCCAAGGATGAAATGGGTGGGGAAGGAACACTTTGTGGGAATAGCCTCCAGCTCATGTTAAAGTGCTTTTACCAGTCAGAGCTGCCCAGAGTTGGTGTGGAGTACCTGGAAGATAGTCAGCTAGAATAATGATTTTTCACACCAGGGGAACATTACAAACACTTAGATATGCCCGCCTTCTACCTCCCCCTCACACCGCCTCCCCCCACCTCCCCAACACACACACACACACACACACACACACACACACAGATTCTAATTCAGTCCGCATGGATGGTCCTGGAAATCTTTATTTTTCTGTAAATTCCTCCAGGTGATTCTGATAATAGAAGATGTGGTGTCGGGAAAATTGCACAAAGGAGTCAGGCTTCGGATGGGAGAGTTGAACTGTATGATTTTCAGTCTCTTTCCAACCCTGTGGTTCTGTGATTCTAATTAGCCTTGTCAATACTTCTTCCTTTGTTGGATTACACACCCCTTTCTTCCCAAGAAACATTGTAGGTACTATTCTTTTTGTAATCTTCCACCTGCTAGCGGTCATTATTAGTTGGCTGTCTTTTTGAGGGGGGTGAGAATCATTTTAACAACCATACTACAGCTGGCCTGGAAAAGAAGTTTGTCTAGTGAATCTAATATTGATATTTGTTTGTATTGTATCTCACGAGGGACCAGTGCCCTCCTTCATATGTGTGCATGTGATTCCATGTGTGCCTGTGTGTGTGTGTGTGTGTGTGTGTCTGTAAATTAATTTCTCTAAAATTTTCTCTTTAGAATTTAATTCATTCCAAAGTCATACATTTCACTGTAGAAAAGTGGAAAATTTTAGAAAAGTATAAAGAAGAAATTAAAATATATCTCACAGAGTTCTTTAAAAAAAATACTTTTATTGTTGAGAGTATTACAGATGTCCCCCTTTTTCCCTCCACTGCTCCCCTCCACCCAGTTCCCACCCCACCCAGGCCTTCACCACCCTACTGTCTGTGTCCATAGGTAAGATCTTTAGTTAATTTCTTCCCGCCCACCCCCCACCCCCTTCCCTCTGAGATTCGTCAGTCTGTTCCATACCTCCATGCCTCTGATTCTCTTTTATTCACCAGTTTGTTCATTACATTTCGTGTTCATTTAATTTTTTGATTCAATTGTTGATATGTATTTGTTGCCATTTTATTGTTCATATCTTTTATCCCCCTTCTCCTCATCCTCCTTCTTCTTCTCCTTCTTCTTGAATACTCTAACATTTCTTTTTTTTTTTCTGGTGATGAATTCCTTTTGCTTTTTCTAGTCTACAAAGCCCTTTATCTGACCCTCAATTTTAAATGAGAGCTTTGCTGGGTAGAGTAACCTTGGTCGTAGGTCCTTGCTATTCATCATTTTGAATATTTCTTGCCAGTCCCTTCTGGCCTGCAAAGTTTTTGTTGAGAAATCAGCTGACAGTTGGATGGGCACTCCCTTGTAGATAACTGCTTACCTCTTGCTGCTTTTAAGATTCTCTCTTTGTCTTTAACCTTTGGCATCTTAATTATGATGTGTCTTGGTGTGGGCCTCTTTGGGTTCCTCTTGTTTGAGACTCTCTGTGCTTGCTGGACTTGTAATTCTTTCACCAGGTGTGCCCCTATGTGGGCTGAGTGCACAGTCTTGTAGTTGAGCTTTGATTGCTCTTGGCATCTATGGGAGGAGTTGGCCTCCAGATCAATTAGCTGTGATGACCAGCTGCAACTACAGTGGGAGAGCTGCTGTGCAGGAGGCAAGGCCCCGCTGTGAAGCAAGGCAGGCTGGTGCTAGTTCTGGGTCTTGGCCCTTTTATTGATAGGTTTGGGGCACACTGTCACCAACTGAGGCTTGTTTGAGAGATTTTAGCAAAGTCTGAAGTCTGAGCAGGGACAGGCTATTCATGCGGAAAATTGGGTGCAGCCAGGTTGGGTGGAGCTGTAAATTGGATTGGGTGGGGTCTCAGGAAATCACCAGGGTGGAGCAAACAGTCTGGGCCAATCTGATGGAAACCCTACTTGGCTGCCAGTCAGCCCTGGGACAGGGAGGTCCCAGCACTAGAACAATGAACCCTGCGAGCAGCCCTTTCTGGGAGAAAGCCTCCCCCAAGTTCCTGCCCTGATGCCAGACAATCCAGTTCCTCCCCATATGTGTCTGGGTGCCCCTGGTGCTGGAGCTCAGAAGAAGTAAGACCGTGTAAGTTCCTGCCCAGTTCTTTAAAAGGAATACCTGGATCTTCACCAGCCTCCGTGTCACTCAGCCCCAATCCCCACTGATTTTTACATCGCAAAGTTGCAGGGACTTCTCTTCCCAGCTCTGGGACCTAGGGATAGGGGTCTGGTGTGGAGCTGAGACCCCTTGCTCCTCATGGGCAGTTCCACAGAGTCTATCTCCCTCCTGATTAAAAAAGGTGCACAGGTGGGTGCCAGTCCAGCCTATTCTGTGTTTCTGCCCCTCCTACCAGTCTCAATGTGCTTTCTTTTTACTTCTCTGGTTATAGGACTTCTATTCAGCCAGCTTTTAACTGGTTCTAAATGATGATTGGTCTGTGTTTTAGTTGTAATTTTGATGTGGTTGTGGGAGGCAGTAAGTATAGGCATTTACCTACACCACCATCTTGGTTCTTCACAGAGTCTTATGCACTTGCTTTAATGCAATTTAACGCCTGTCATGAGCCTGTTCTGAGCCTACTCTTTAATACTTCTAATGAGGCTGCCTCATTTCAGATTTCATTCAGCTCAGAGTAAATGGCAGCTGATACAAATATAATTTACTATTACATTGGGGTTATTTTTCCATCCTTAATTTCCCTATAGCCCCTTTTATGAGTATAGTTCAGCTAGTGGAGTGGATCTGGAAAAATCTCATAATGGATTACATCAGTGTGTGACATTACTCCTTACAAAGATGTTTCCCTATTACTATTCCATTTAATCATCCCAATAAAACCAAGATGAAAATGATTTCCCTCCATTTTTTGAAAATGGTGAATAAATGTTATTTACCAGAACACCCCTAGGACATGCTAGACACTGTTGTAAGTCCTTTACAATTAACTTATTTAAACTGCATTGCAACCTTATAAAGGAAGTGATATTATTTTCATTTGATAAATCAGGTTGGTTAACTTGCCTAAAACTGCCTAGCAGTACATGATGGAACTGGGATTTGAATCTAGGCTGCAGAATTGATGTCCCTAATTCATATGCAATCCTATCTCCCAAAGTGACAAAAGTAAGACTTCTCAAAATTTAATTCAGGAAGCATTGCTTGAGCAGCATCTGGGTTCCAAGGGCTGTCATCGGGCCACTCTCTGGAGCTCAACATTTATGGGACCAGCATGTAACTATGGTACAGCTGCACTGTGATTAGAGCAATGAGGGCTGTATCGTAAATAAAGGTATTGTCCTACTCGGCTTAGGCTGCGATAACAAAATACCACAGATTGGGTGGTTTAAACAATAAACATTGATTTCTCACAGTTCTGGAGACTGGGAGTCCAAATTCAAGGTGCTGGCTAATTGGGTTCCC